TGGGAGGAAACTCGTCACGTTTAGAAGCCATTATACCAGTGGTGGCAAACCTATGGCACGTGTGCCACAGCAGGCATCCAGAGCCCTCTCTGTTGGCATGCGAGCCCAGTCGCTCCAGCTTCTGAGCATCAGATAACAGCACACATAGGGTCCATGCGCACACTCAGAAAGGAGTAGCGGTGCCAGGTGATGTTGTCACAAACTGCGATTTATTAGCCGCGACTCGTCCGAGCTTTCACATAGCCGGTCAGTGCACGGCCAAGGATATATATATGTATATATATTTGGTTGGACTGGCTGTGAGTTGTTTTTTTCTAAACTAAAACCTCAGTTTTGAGCTTTTATTGCTGTGTTGGCACTTTATGATAAATAAGTGGATTCTGGGTTGCCGTTTGGGCGCCTGGTCTCTGAAAGGTTCGCCATCACTGCTTTATACGGTGCTTTGTAGAGTATGCAAAGCAGGGCAGAGATGGTCACATTATCTTGTAATTCTTACAGTAGTGCTGCTATTCTAATTGCAGATGGGGATAAGCTATGAATGGCTTGCCTACCATGACTGTACATCATTTCTGTGGCCTCGTATAAACTTGTAGCATGAATTCCTTCTTTCCTTCTTTATTTATTTATTGCATTTGCATTTATTGCATTTGTATCCCACCCCATAGCCAGAAGGCTCTCTGGGTGGCTCACAGCACAATCATAACAATAACAAAGGTAAAAATAGAAAGTGCAGATAAAAATGGATGATAATAACCAGTGCTTTTTTTGTAAAAAAAAAAAAAAAAAAGGTCGGAATTCACGTCGTCGGCAGTAAGCGTGTGACCACACACCCCAAGCCCAAGCCCAGCAGCGAAGCAGCCCCAACCAAGCCTCCGCCCTCACTATCTCACTATCAGATAGCAGATAGCAGACACAAAAGCAGCATGTAGGCACTATGTTAATGATCAAAACCACTTCGTAAAATCCATTGAAAGAAAGGTGCCGGAACCCTGTTCCGGTGCAGTCTATGACAAAAAAAGCCCTGATAATAACAACTATAACCATAAAACAAACAGAATAAAAATACAATGTAAAAACCCCGCTGGAGGATAAACACAGTATAATCAATAAAACAACAAATCAATAAAACAATAAACCAGCAGTAAGACCAATAATCATAAACTAAAAACAGATGCTAAATTTTAAAAGCCTTAACTTGGTGCTGAAAGCGAGATAAAGCGGATGCCAGTCACACCTCCCTCGGAAGGGAATTTCAAAGGTGAGGTGTAATGGCAGAGAAGCTCCCTTTCCTCACCAATTCCACCCTCACTTCATTTAGGGGCGGTTGGAGAAGGAGGGCTTCCACTGATGACCTGAGTGATCATAACTGATTCCCTTGCGTGCCTTGTCTATCTTGAAAAATTTGACGGCCACCTGGTGCCTTTCTACTGTTTGATTCCCTTTGTGTAAACCTTTACATTTCTGCCTATCTGATCTCGATTTGTAACCTAGGCATAGTAGTAGGACATGCATGTCTATTAATTACACGTACATGATGATGATGGCCCTTTAGATGCCATGCCCTGGCATCTAGTGCCTGCGATCTGAAGACCAGAGGCCCAGTTTACTTAGTCACACATGTTCTGGGTCCTCTTGTTCTGGGTCCACTGGATCTCAGTGTTCTCATTAGCTTTTTCCACTCTTCCACTACCAGTTTTGCTATTCTCCTGACTCCTCCTGCCTCTGCAAAGAAAATAGCAGTAGAGATCAATGTGTCCTGCTTTAGCTGGTTATGTCTCCATACCAGGCAAGTTTACCAGACAAGTCAGAGACACAGCCAAGGTGAAAAGCACATGATATCAATCAAGGGCATTCAGAGTTTCACAAAGGCAGTATCAGGCAGAAGTCCAAGAGTCAGTAAAACTGAGGTCCAAATATGAGTCAAGGTAGAAATGTTTGCTTCTGCTGCTGGTGGTGGTGGTGGTACAAGTTATAGGCAGTAGAGCAACAATACTGTTTCCAGCACTGGTAAAGCTGAAACTGAAGATCTCTTTAGTGAGAACTTCCTGAGCCCTGATTACTAAGTCCTACTCACAAGGAGCCATGTCTTCTTGAGGAGTCCACTTTGTGATTCAGTTCTCCCCTAAGGTGCCTGCTGGTCTTCTCACATGGGCTGCTCTGGGGTGCTCCTGATTTCTGGGAGCTCTAGCTCTGAGAATTCCTCCATGTGAACAAGACCTCCTGGGACTTGACATTCTTGAGAGGTTATGTCTCAAATAAAGTGCACAGAGCAGTCTGTCAAATTTACAGGTCCTAAGCATTTCCAGCAGTATCTCACTTTTCTCCAGCAAACTCAGTGTTGAAAATCTATCTAAAGGAACGCTTGCGTCCATATATGCCCTTCCGCCCCTTGAGATCAGCAACCAATGCCCTTCTCCAGGAACCCTCTGTGAATGATATTAGGAGGGTGAGTACCCGGAGGAGGGCTTTCTCTGCGGTGGCGCCCCATCTATGGAATGCGCTCCCAAGAGAGGTCTGTCTGGTGCCGTCGTTACTTGTTTTTCGGCGCCAGGCTAAGACCTTTTTATTTAAAACTTATTTTAATTGTTAATTTATTGGTTATTTATAGGATTTTAAATCTTTTAAGCCAAGATGCACCGGGTTTTAATATTTTTATTGTACAATTTGTTATATTTTGTTCTTGTTGTGAGCCGCCCCAAGGCTTTGTTGCGATGGGGGCGGCATAAAAATGTTTTAAATAAATAAATAATAAATAAAATACAGTTTGCTCTGTTCTAACACTGTTTCCAGCACTAGCCGATGTCACACCTTCCATATAGGCATTGGGCTTTAAGTTTGCATAATCTGCTTTAAGCATGGTCTACAGCAGAACTTCAACGTTTTCCTCTTGACATTCCTCAAACCTTTTCTGGTTTGGAACTGGGTCAGATTGAAAATGTTTCCTCACTGTATGTTCAAGTATTCTAGTGTTTTTTGCGCTGCAAGAATCTTGTTGTAGTGTAGCATATCTTACAGAAATGGTGTGTATCATTACAGTAATTTGCGCAAGCAGCTGCTATATGGAAGATCACATGTTCTTAGCAGCACTGTAAGAGGCATGCAATATCTATTCTCGCATCACTCACAGTAATAGATTCAACAAGCAGACAGGTCAAGAACATGAGTAGGGATAATAATGTGTAGGTCTGAGAAGACACTGGCATGGGAAGTAATCGCACTGCTGAGTCTGCATATATGATTTGCTTCCATCTTGTACTGCCAAAGCATTATGAGAACGATGATACTCACAGTCCACTAATGATTCACTGTGGCATGAACTAACAGTTGAACTTAACTCTCCTTTTAATGATGCGTAACTGCAATTCTACAGAATGGATAGTTATTTTACAATAACATCCCTTGGCATTTGGGTAACATTTTAAAGCCGAGAATGTAAATCTCGGGCTTGGAGAGGTTTCCCGTTTAGCCCACCTCAGGGGGAGGAGTATCCATGCTATCTCCAGTGTTCTCCATGGATCAATGACCCATGCTGTCCATGACTGGAGGTAACAAAGAGGATTCCCCTACACGCTGCGCTCACTTCCACGTGGGAAGGTGAGTGGCACACTAAGGGGAGCCTGCTGATCTTTCCAACCAGTGACCACCAATTCCTGCATGAAAGCCGTTTTTCCAGGCAATGAGAGCAGGAAGAAAAAAGCAGATTCCCCATTCAGATAGAGGGATATCCATACCTTCCTCTGCATGGAGAAGCTTAGATATGATGTCAGTGAGCAGGGCTTTGGAGGAGAGATCTGCCGCCTGACATCAACTGTCCCTGAAAGGGTAACCCAGAAAGCTATCTGGCTAACCAGTTCCTCAGACCCCTTTTAAAGTGTTCATAAAACTGTATGTTCTAGTAATGGGTTAAGCAGGAAGACATATGCAGCTACATTTCCTAAGCTTCCTGAAGGAAAAGAAGGCCCTCAGGTTTGCTCAGGGGGTACACAGGTCTTAAGCCTATGGCCTACAGTACTATTAGCCCCAAACCCTTAAGTTTCAGGAAAGGATAGTGCAGGAGAAAGCTGGGTCCAGCAAGGTCAGGGCTCCCATGAGATGGGTTGACGGTCTTTTCATGTATGGATGAATGGATTTACAGAGCACAAGGCAAAAATTACAATATAATATACCTAATATTGGGTCAGGTATCTCTTTTCTGCATCTGAGGTTAATTGCACAAAAGACCCCTCCCCACCCACAAAGCAATATACACAAAATGGTATACATTCTCATTTGTGAGAATAGCAATTCTGTTATAGTGATTGAGTTTAAAGTGTGTCAGTAAGTTAACGCACTTTAAATGGAAAAAAAATGACCAAGTGAGGTAGTCATGACAATGGAATGCTTTTAGGCTTATACGTTTTTAAAAAGGTATTAATTTTAAAAAGAGAGAGACACTAAACTTTAATTGCAATCCCAGGAAAAAGCTTTCCCACTAATTCAGTGAGAAAAATTATTGAAGCAAAAATTGCTTATCTGGGCTCTTTTGGAGCCACAATGCTTCTCTCGTGATTCTATAGATCATTACAGCTCTCAGAGTAAGATGGATTTATATTGATTGAGTGAGGAGGTGGGAGAGATGAAGGTCCAAGGGGCTTTTCTAAAGACACTGAGTACTCCGTTATACATTAGTGACATGTACATCATGGGTTACTCAAAGCCAGATTCTTCAACTCTGATTCCACAATGCCCAATTGAAGTCACAGAAGAATAATTTCTAACTTTCCTTTTACAATTTGTGCCTTTCCCCCCAGTATTGATTTGTTCTAATATTAAAGATGCTTCTTGATAGCAAATGTACGATCATATATAACAAATCTCCGATGGTAATTACAGAGTTACCATAATAGACAGGACGCATATGGACAGGTGAGCGCAAGGCAATTAAAGGAGGTGCTAAAAGGTCTTTTTTTTTTCTCAACCGGATTTATGTGACTGGCATCAAAATCCTATCCTCAACTTACCACCATGTGGCATGAAGATGTTCCACATATCACAGCAATTCGGGATGTTATTGGTTGATTTTCACAGAGCAGGTTCTGCCCCTTCACATTGGCTCCAATCATGCCTGGTATAAAGATGCAAAACACAAAAAGTTGATTTTAAGGCAAAACAAATATTTCAAGTTGTACTTACTGAGACTGTTCCCCAAAGTGTTATCAGAAAAGCCAGTCTCCACACTCATTTTAATGGAAAATGTATTCTTAAAACTTATTGCTCAATTTCCACATTCATACTGAAGGCACCCTATCTAGGGCAGCTTAGGATTTTATGACCACCATGACAAACATGGAGAGTCAATGTGGTGAAACAGCTGAGAGTGCAGGACTGGAACTTGGATAATCTGGTTTCTAGTTCCTGCTTCATCATGGAGCCAACTGGGTGACTTTGGGACAATCACATTCTCAGCCTACCTCACAGGGTTGTTGTGGGGGTAAGAATGAGAGCGAGACGAAGAGAATAAGGTAAGCTGCTTTGGGTTTATTATAAGAAAAAGCAGGATATAAATCTAATAAAGAGATAAACCATGGTACTGTCTCACCATGTCATCAGCTTGACAATAACATACTGTAGACTTGTTCTTTTCAGCTGATAATGAGGATGGTGCTCTGAGTGTGAAGGATTCTCTGAATTAGAAGCATAGAAACAGAGTGTGTCAGAAGGGGTCTTCCGGGCTATCTAGTCTGACCCCCGGGTCTAGCCGGCTCCGCTTATGACACGCCTACCATGCGCTTGTCTAGCCTATCCTTGAACACCTTCACCGATGGGGCCTCAACCACCTCCCGTGGAAGCCCATTCCATTCCCTCGGGGTCCTAACTGTCAGGAAATACTTCCTGGCATCCAAATTGAACTTTGGTTCCCTAAGCTTCACTCCACTGGAGCACATCCTGCCTTCCTCTGCAGGGGAGAACAGGTCTCCAGCCACCTCTGTGTGACACCCCCTCACATACATATATGTCACCAACAGATCCCCTCAAGTCTCCTCTTCTTGAGGCTTAAAAAACCCAGTTCCCTCAGTCTCACCTCATACGGCTCTCCCTGAAATCCAGCCACCATCCTTGTGGCCCTATGCTGCACTGACTCTAACCTGACTCTATCCTTCCTGTAACAAGGGACCCAGAACTGAGCACAATACTCCAGTTGCAGGCGCACCAGAATCGTATAGAGTGGTAGTAATACCTCTCTTGATCTAGAAGCCACGCTTCTGGCTATGAGAGTGGAGGTTTTGCTGCTACTTGGAGGGCTGTCTCCAGTAGGTGGTTCTTGGGGAATATTGCTCAGCAAGATGGATTCTCCAGCCTGGCATTCCTCAGGCAGCTGTTCTCCCCCACCACCCCTGCAACTCCATGAAACTACCAAGTGGGGTCATCTGGAGTTTTGGAGTGCATTGCCATCCATACGCTGATCACATGCAGCTCTAGTTCTCCTCCTCATCAACAGGCAAGGCTGTGAATGTGCTAAACAATGTCTGGCTGTGACAATGGACTTGGATGAGAGCTAATAAACTGAAGCTCAATCCTGAAAGGATATGGGTGGACAGATCTTCTGACCAGAAGGAGGTTTGTTGCACTTGTTCTAGATAGGCTTGCACTCTCCCTGAAGGAGTCAGTTCATAGCTTGGGGGTGCTCCTTGATCATCATCATCACTTGAGGCTCAGGTGGCCTCAGTGGCTCAAGTGCCTTTTACCATCCTCAGCTGATGGCCCAGCCATGCCCCTGTCTGGACAAGTGATGAACACTCCAGTTATCTCTAAATTAGATTACAGCCATGGTTGAAGCTGCCCTTGAAGACAATTTAAAAGCTGCAGCTCTTGCAGAATGTAGCAGCCTGATTAATAATCAGGACCCATACCTCCAAGCCCATACAACTGGTTCTGGCTTCCTGGTTGCATTGGCTTCTTGTATGCTTCCAGGCACACTTCTAGGTGCCGGTGTTAAACTATAAAGCCTTACATGGTTTGGGACTTCAATACCTGTTGGAGCACCTCTTCCAACTGTGATCTACTCAGACACTATGCTCAAGGGCTTTCTCTGTGGTGGCTCCCCATCTATGGAACAACCTCCCCACTGGGGCCCACCTGCTGCCAAACTTGTCAAGTTTTTGACACCAGGTTCATACTGCCCTTTATGCCAAAGCCTTTCACGATTTATTTGGATTTAGCAGTGTGCCAAACATAAGGAATACCCTGAAGCCCAGGAATGGAGACTGTGCATTCTGCCAGTTACTAGGCTGCAGCTTCATTCAGGCCTAACTAATACAGACTTTCGAAAATGCTGCTGAATGCTTCGATGCTAATTAATTCTGAGTGGATTTGCAGAAGTTTGTCCTGCTCACTTCTGAGCAGACTTAAACCAGTAAGAACCACGTTTTTGTCCCACTCATTTTGCCTTTGGCCCTGCCCACACATGCAACACACACCCACAGCAACTATGCAACCCTCAAGAGGTCAAATTTTGCCTGCAAACAAGCAGGCCCTTTTGCACTCCATACTGCTACAGCCACCTTTTCTCCCTGAAGTTTTAAAACATCTTTTCCCCCAGCAAGCAATGGCAGCTCACAAATACCATGTTGACCGCCCCTGTAATATTCAGATCATTTGATCCAGAGTAAATAAGCTTCAGTGACTGTTTTTCAATCATGTTAATATGACATTAGACTCCTTTGATGTGAGGATAAATATGAAGCAGCATACAGACAGCAAGAATATGTTTCTCAACCCTGGAAAGGTTGTCTTCGATTACACTCATGACTAGATTTTTTTTGTATCATAGTTGCAATTAGTATTGCATTGTTAAGATAAAGACACCACTACAAAGAATTAAACTAACATCTCTAAATTCTACTAGAGGATTCTTACAGCAAATAAAATCTGTTCCTACACATTATACATGATTATCTCCAGTAGCACATTAAGCCAATTATTGTAAGTACATTTGTTCTCTTAGATATTTTGATCACTCCTATGATCCTACTCATGCCTGTGCATTTACATGAGTAGTAGTTCCCAAAAGCCATCACAGCTGAAGGTTTATGTTCAGGGAATATTCAGTTGTGAAGGGCAGAAACAATCACTTCCTGCTAGCAATTAAGCTTTCTTTTTCAGTTCATCCTGTGGACAGGCAAATATGTCACATGTTAAGGCGACCACATAGAGAAGGCTAACAGAGAATTTCCTGTACAAAGAAGAGCTATAATTAGAAGCGCAGAAGGATGTTTAGAATATTTTCTGTATCTCAAAATTTTATGTTAATTAAAGTCAGGATCACCACTACAACATGTAGATGTTTGTATGATTCACAGTTATTAATGAGTCACAAGGAAAATATGTATTAATCACAAAAAATATGCGTGGAGTGAAGTTACATCACTAAGGTCATTAGAGAGTTGAATTAATAAGAGTTCTACATATGTTTTGTTTCAGTATTTGTGCACTTTGCTGTCTGCCAGAGTGCCATCTAAGCTACCTTGGTCTATCTCAGATAGTGGGCCAGTTCACGTGATCACACAAAGCCACTGTGGTGCAAATAATTTTTCTGTCTGTCTGTCTTTCTGTTTAGGTAAGACCCCTGGGGAAGCTGCCCTCTTTTAAATTCCATGTAGCACCCCCACTATCAAGATGTTCTGTGCCCAATGTGATTATTCTTGGCTTAATGCATAAAGCCAAGAAAACAATTAACAAATGAGTAGGCCTAGTCAGGAAGTTATAATGGACAAAGATTACAGTAACCTGGAATCATCAGTTACAAAAATTGACAGTCCATGCTCTATGTTTTGCCCAGCACATTTTAGCTAATATCATTTTAATTGAATACAGAGTATGTTTAAGTTGATATATAAGGAAGTTGAATATGCCCAATAGACTCTCCCTGTGTTTTGACAGAAAACTGATAAAATCAGAAAGTGTGAATGTAACAGCAAACTGCACCTGTTGACATGGTAGTATTTGAAACAAACCATTTGGAGAATAATAGTTGCATAGGAGTCTTCCCATTACAGAAATTAAGGCCTTGCTGAGGTCTTAGGAGAGAAGTCAAAGAGCTGGGAGTGATTTAGATGAACTGTGTTTTGTGAGTAACCAAAACCAACTGTATTGCGAGGCAAGAATGGATTGGGACAATGGATATACGTATTTGCTGATTCCAGACACTCCATCCTCCTCATCTGGATTTGGGCATGGAAGGTCAAGGGGAAGTGTGTGTGCATGGAGAGTAAGCTGTACTCAAGCACAATTTATAACAAATTGATGTTTGCTTACCATCATCACTAATCACTGGACACACTTAATTATGCCAAAGGCTTAAGCTTCCAATTTCCTGGCTTTGTGGAGCCTGAGCCAACAGCCTTAACTCAGGTCTTAAACTGGCAGAATTGTTTTAATCATTCTAAAATCAATATTGTTCCGTTGTCAGTTGCATACTACTGAATTTAACCAGATTAGGGTCTATAAGAATCAGTACAATGCTCTCTGAGATCCAACAACACTCAAAGCTGCTTTAATTTCCATGGTGTTTTACTTAAGCCACACTCCAAATACTTTCTAAACCATATCAGATTTGGGCAGTAGATTCATCAAAAATACCTATCGTTTCGAGGACCAATTTCAGACACAACAGTTTTAAAGATGAGATCTGAATAAATCATTTGGCTCCACATACCTTGCCAGTGCTTAAAAAGACTCTCCATCTTTTCCAAGCACAGTTCAAAGTGCTGGTGCTAATTTTAAACTGCAAATTTATTTTAAACCTAGTTTATTTATATCACACTTTTTTCTTACAATTAACTCAAAGTGGCTAACATCATTCTCCTCCTGCTCTGCTCCTCTTCTCTGTTTTATCCCCACAACAACAACCCTGTGAGGTAGGTTAGGCTGAGTGTCTGTGACTGGCCCAAAGTCACCCAGTTGGCTCCATAGCTGAATAAGGACTAGACCCCCGATTGTCAGGGTCCTAGTCCCATACTCTTAACCACTATACCATGCAGGCTCTCTCACACAGAGTACTGGACTGTCTATTTGCAATGTACCTATATGTTAAGGTAATCTTCAGAGGTCTTCCTCAATATGGAC